AATAATAATAATAAAATAATAATAATAACATAATAATATTCATAATAATAAAATAATATCTCTCCAATCAGCCGCACAAAACTGAGGTCCATAAAAATCCAACTTTATTGTTGTGAATTCCATGCAAAGTATACACCACCATATTATCCCTCCTACCCCAACGCCCCTCAGGCATTTTACCACCTGGGCTTAATCATAGGAATTGGAGCGCTGAGTGTTTTGCTTTTCTGAATAATAAAAATACTTCTACTATTCCCATGCTCGCCTCCAGGACTTCTCTAGAGTCTCTCCCATCCTCTGGAATTCTTTACCCAATAATAAAATAATAACATAATAATATTAATAATAATAACAACAACAACAATAATAATAATAATAATGATAAAATACTACTACTAAAAATAATAATAATAATCAATCATCATAAGCATAATAAAATATTATAGTAACTTACGCTGCCTTGCCATAGGTCTTCTCTCCCTTCAGCAAGTTTATAATACACATTGATCTCCCATCCGGCTTTGAAGCTCAGGAATCGACAGTCGGGTCCGGTGTAATCTTGTTTTGCTGAAACTCTCATCATCAAACCTGAAACATAAATATCTTGCATCACCACAATGGATGGACTTGTCTGCCTAATCACTAATACTTATTCAACCATGTGTCATGAACTGAATTTTTCTCTATTGTCCTAATGTGGTGAAACTGCAACTCCCATCTTGGCTCTGCCTCAACATCTGAGATACGTCCGAGGCAGCCAAAGGGTTAGGATGACATTCATATTTATTACAATACCGCTACATTTTAGAATGTATGTTTGCAAGGACGGCCATTTCAAATGTTCAAACATGCTTGTCCATAGGCCAGGGTCATATGATGTGATTATTGGGCACAGCTTCCAGAGTTCAGCTCCTCTTTAGTATGAATAGGTCGAATGTACTCTGTATATTTGCATTCAGTTTTCATTTACCTCATGCTCGTGTATTTATTTCATCATATGCTCAGGGCCAACCAAGGCCCGGCCTCGGGGCAGCAGGGAGTAGAGGGGCAGCGGGGTGTGGAATTCTTATCTCTCCAATGCCATTCCGGGTGCCGGGCGGGTAGTTGTTTTCTACATTTAGCCCCGCTTTGGGCAAGCAGAGCTAAATGTACAGCGGGGAAGCTTCCGCTTGTTTTGTACAGGTGATCTCGGCCTGGTCTGCAGCCTGCAGGTCTGCCATTCTCCAAGGGGGGCGTTTGGCGGGTAGGGGGGCGCATTGAGGAACCTGGCCTTGGGGCAGCAGAGAGAGTAAATCCGGCCCTGCATATGCTCAGCTGGCAGTTACAGGTACACTTTAAACAATGATAGTATCACTATCATTGTCCCCTGTGTTCCGCCATGTTTTTCACGGATGAACGCCTCTTCCTGGCATGAATAGAACAAATCTCCGGCTCCTGTCTGGTTTTATCTGAAAGTGGCAGCAAACAAACCTCTGAACTTTGTCCTGTAAGGTTGTAGCCATTTCTCTTCCCAAGCCCTATAAATCTCTGGATGGCCATAAACAGTCCCAGATAGAAGAGCAATGCTTACACTAACCAAACAAATGGTGATCTCCCTCTGAAGGGTCTCATATCTCTCTCTTCTATAGGGCCTTAACTATGAACAACAATGTATCTTATTTGTGTATCACTCGGCTATAGATCCTCCAATCATCTCTGGATTGGTGCTGACACTGTCCGTCCTTCTGGAGGGGAGCTACTTTTGTTCCCCATGGTCCCTGTGTGTGTTGTAAAGTAGTCACGGCTCCAAGCTCCGCCCGCGGGGATGGACTACAATCTCATGTTTAGTTTACTAATTTGTATTGAGATTGTAGTCCATCACGGGGGGGGGGGGGGGGGTGGGGGGGATAAA